TGCACACAACCAAAAACTCTAGTTGAAACTGGTAGGAACTAGGGCAGCTTTTTTTTTTTTTAAAGAGAGATTTTTTGCTATAGGACATGTGTACTCAACAGAGACAGAGAGACATAAAATGAGAAATCACTCCCCAGGAGGAATAGCCACGTGGTAATCCCTTCTCCATTTTCCTCTCAGCATCTTGGGCACACACATACACATGCTCAGTGTGAGTTTAAGCCACTGGGTCTGAGACTTGAACCACAGTCAATTACATGGGAGTCCAGCCATGTAACCATTACGCCATCTGTTGACCCTCTCTAGCTTTCTTGAGAATTGATTGGTTTAATTTATTCTATAGTTGTCCAACCTTGGTCCAATCAATTGAGTGGGTTGAGGGTGTTCAGTTATTTATTAGAAACTGAGGGGGCCAGCAGGTGGCATGGTGAAGGGCACTGGACTCCCACATGGCTGACCAGGGTTTGGGTCCTGGACCTGGCAGTTTGCTATCTCACTTTCCCTCCCTTTCCTCTCTCTCACTCTGTCCCTCTCTGGTCAAATTAAAAAACAGGTAAATAAGAAGTAATTCTTAAAAAAAAAAAAAATCCCTGAGAACTAAAGGCTGTAGGTGACAGGCAGAATCTGTAAGATTATATTTTATCCAAGAGATGCAAACATTAAACCATAAAGTTGTAGATTCATGTGTGGCCGCTCCTGCTATTGATCAGTGCCCAGATGGAACTATGCAGAGGTAGAAACTCACCCTTTCAATGCCCTTGCAAATGGGTCTAACATGGAGAAACTATTATATTCATCTTACAGATGAGAAATTGAAGTTCAGAAAACAAATAATTTGTCTGAGGTCATGCAACTAGTATAGCAGAATAAGAAATTTAGGGCCACCATGTGGCATCATGGTTAAGGTGCTAGATTCTTTTGGAGTTTTTTTTTTTTTAGCTATAGGGCACGTGCACTTGCCAGACAGAGAGAGACGGAGAGACAGAATGCGAGAAATCACCCCCCAGGGGGTATGGTCAATGCTGCAATTCCTTCTCCTCCATTCTCCTCTCGGGATCTTGGGCACGCACGAACATGCGCCCAGTGTGAGTTTTAAGTCACCAGGTCCGGGAGGCGAACCGCGGGCAACTACGTGGGAGTCCAGCGACATAGCCATTACGCTAACTGCTGGTTCCCAAGGTGCTAGATTCTACATGGTAAATTGTGTGGGTTGAATCCCAGACCTGGTGGTTTGAAAAACATGCCAGGCATGTGTATGTGCATGTCCACCCAAGATCTTGAAAGAATGGAAAAGGAGGACCAGCAGTTGGCATAATGGCTGTCGCTGGACTCCCATGTAGTCAACCGCAGTACGAGTCCCAGACCTGGTGGCTTAGAAAACTCACTGGGCATGTGTGTATGTATGCGGGCCCAAGATCCCAAGAGGAGAATGGAGAAGGGATTGTGATGTGGCCACCTCCCCTAGGCAGTGATTTCTCGCTTTCTTTCTCTTTCTATCTTTCTGGTAAGCACACACACACTATAGCAAAAACCTCTCCAAAAAAAAAAGAATAGAAAAGGGATTGTATAGGATTGTATGAGGTGGGTGGGGGAGGGGTAACTTTTCACTTTTCCGCTCTCCTACAGACTCTCCTCCTACGTGGGAGTCCAGTGACATAACCATTATGCCATCTGCAGGTTCCATGTATCCTACAGCAAAAAATCTAAACAAAAATCTAATTTAAACTCCTGCTTTTGACTCTAGTACCCAGATTCTTTGGCCAACAGGTGGTATGGAGGTTAGAGGCTGGGTCTCATGGCCAGATTCATAGCTGAATCCCGGACCTGGCAGCACCAGGCATGTGTGTACATACGTACCCGGTGTTTTTCAAGTCACTGGGTTCAAGACTCAAATCATGGGAGTCAGCCATATGGGAGCCAATGCCGTAACATCAACTCCCTGCTTCACTAACTAAATCCAGATACCTACTGGGGGTGGGGGGTAGAGACAGGTGGCATGGTAGTTAAAAGGCAAAGGATTCTCACATGGCTGTGGTTCAAATCCTGAACTTGGTGGCTTTCTCACTTTTCCTGTCTTTCTGACCAATTTAAAAAAAATAATAAAGAGGCCAGCAGATGGCGTGGTGGTTAAGGGCACTGTACTCCCATATGGTCCACCACAGTTCGAGTCCTGGACCTGGCAGCTTGCTTTCTCACTCTCTTTACCCCTCTCTGGTCAAATTAAAATAGTTTTGAAAATAATGGAATATTAAAAAAAAAAAAAAAAAAAAAAAAAAAAAAAAAAAAAAAAAAAGCCCCTAGGGCCCAGGGCCCCTGCCATACTACCCAATGACACTACTATGAAAAGCCTGGTCTACAGGGCTCACTGTGGCATGTTATTTGGCCCTACTTGTTTCAATGTACCCCAAAGCATGGATCAATGTTTCCTTTTCCTGTTCAACATAGCTTTGTTTCTCAAGGACGATATTAACAGTAAATTCTTAAGATCTGTACAAATTGCTTGGTTCTGGTTATTTCCTACCTTAATTAGATCCTCAAATTCCTTCTTAGTCTGTTCTTTGTGGAGTATTTGAGGTCAAGGGCCAGCCCCAGTGCAATGGTTAAGCCCAACACAAAGTTGGATCCTACACTGATTTGTTCTGGCCCACTGGCTTAAAAAAACACGCTGGGTCTGTGTGCTCTGTGTGCCCAGGAACCTGACAGGGTGGATGACTGGAGAGCAAAAGAGGTTCTGCTGGGGATTATTTCCTCTCTTGCATGTGCCCTCTGGCATTAACAAAATACCATTAATGGCCAAAATAGTTACACAAATCAGCCTATGAAAAACCCAAGGGAGGCTAGCAGGCGACATGATTTTTATGGTGCTAGAGTCCCACACAGCCGACAATGGTTCAAGTCCCAGACCCAGAGGTCACTCTCACTTGCACTTTCTCTTTCTGGTCAAATTAAAAAGTAATAACATTCTCCTCTTGGGGTCTTGGGCACACATACCTGGCATTAGTTTTAAGCTGCTAGGCCCAGGACTTGAACCAAATTTAACTATGTGGGAGATAAGTGACAACCATTACACCATCTGTTGGTTCCGTCTAAGTTCTTAAAAATATAAAAGCTACAAAAGCTTTTACTCTTACAAAAAGATAAAGGAAATCCACTTATTTTATCAAAATAAATTTGCATTCTTAAAAGTATTATTCTAGGGAACCAGCAGTTAGCATAATGGCTATGTCGCTGGATTCCCATGTAGTCGACCGCCGTTCGCGTCCCAGACCTGGTGTCTTAGAACTCACGCCAGGAATGTCTGCATGCGTGTCCAAGGTCCCGAGAGGAGACTGGAGAAGGGATTGCGAGGCGACCATCCCCCCTGGGGGGGTGATTTCTCGTTTTCTGTCTCTCTGTCTGTCTGCCAAGCACACGCGCCCTATAGCAAAAACCTCTAAAAAAAAATATATATATATATATTATTCTAGTTTTGGGGTAAAGATAGACATATTAGGGCCAGCAGATGGCATAGTGGTTATGTTGTTAGGGACTCCCACATGGTTAACTCTGGTTCAAGTCCTGGCTTGAAAATCAAGCCAGCTGTCTGTGCTTAAGTGCCCAAGATCCCAGGAGAACAGAGAAGGTATTGTGGTGCATTTCCCTGGTGATTTCTCTTTCCTTCTGTTTCTCTCTCCAAGCATTATGTGCCTTATAGCAGAAATCTCTACAAAAGAGATTGACAGGGGCCAGCAGGTGGTACGGTAGTGAAGGTACTAGATTACCACATGGCTGTGGTTCAAGTCCTAGACCTGACAGCTTGCTCTCACTTTTCCTGTCTCTCTGGTCAAATTAAAAAAATAACAAAATTGGGGACCAGCAGGTGACATGGTGGTTAAGGCACTGGACACTCCCACATGGCCAACCATAGTTTTAATCCCAGACCTAGTGGCTTGCTTTCTCACTTTCTCTCTCCCTCTGGTCAAATTAAAAAATAAATGAGTGAATAAATACAATTTAAAAATAACAAAATAAAAAGGTTCTGGGCACTCAAGCAAAGCACCTGGCTTGAGTCTTAAACCACCAGTTCCAGAATTAGAACCATGGTCAATGATGTGAGTTCAACATAACTGCTATACCATCTGCTGGTCCCAAAATACAGTAATTTCTTTTTTAAAAAAGGATGGACATATTGGCCAGCTGGTAGTTAAGGCATTGGATCCCACACAGCTGCCTCAGCGGTTCACATCCTAGACTCACTGACTTGAAAAATCACATTGGGTGCATGTGTGTATCCAAAATCCCAAAGTGAGAATGGAAAACGTACAAAAGCATGGCCATCCTCCTTGAGGGGTGATTTCCCATTTTCCTGTTTGTCTCTGGCAAGCCCAGGTGCCCAATGACAAAGCCTTAAAAAAAAAGACTATCAGGAGACTCCAAAGACACGACAGCTTATGTTGCAAAGTCACAGGTAAGAAATAAACAGGTAAAACTGGCAGAGAATTAAGGGATAAAGTGATTGTCCAAAGAAAGGCTGCTCCTCACTCTTTAATTTCTCCAAAGAACTTCGTCTTTGTTAGTGAGAGCATCTATTTCAACTTAAATTCAATGCTATGAATACCAAAAAATGGGGAATGGTAGACAGGTACAAAACTGGATGTGATATTCTGCTTATGTTCCTATTGTTTTCTGAAAATGCTGACATATAATCGAACAAAACACCAAAATCAAAAGCAGCTTGTATGTATATCATGTATCTACACCTTTAGAAACACTTGAAATCACCCCCAAGGGAAGGTGGCCGGCCACGCCACAATCCCTTCTCCAGTCTCCTCTTGGGATTTTGGGCACATATGCACAAGCGCCCATCGTGAGTTTTAAGCCACGGGGTTCAGAACTCCAACTGTGGTCGACTTATGTGGTAGTCAAACGATGTTATCATTATGCCATCTGCTGCTCCTGAAAAAGCAGTATTTACAGTGTAAATAAGAATGTCTAATACAATGAATAACAAATCAAAGCAATTCTGTTACATAAATTAACCCATTTATTGTAGGCTAGTGATATTCCAAATGTCTATGGAGCTTCTACTGGTCTTTCAATTCTTTCAGTCTTCTGATAGCAGACTTCACTGTGACAGCCGAAGTGGTGCTGAGAAGAGAAATGCAGTTTCCATGTAAGCAACATCATTGACATATAAAACAGTCATTAAGCTTTAATCTCATTTTTAGTCCTTTCTTAATAGTGAGGTCTCACTCTGAATTTCTCCTGAAAAGAATCATACTGAAAAGACTATGACTACACTTTGCTATTAATCCAAAGACTTAACCAACATTAGACTACTGCTCAGAAATTTTGTTGACCCCTAAGCTGCTAAAATGTCCTTTAAAAATCATCTTTAGGAGGCCAACAGGTAGTGTGGTGGCTAAGGGTGCTGGACTCCTACATGGCTGACCATGGTTCAAGTCCTAGACCTGGTGGCTTGCTTTCTCACTTTCCCTCTCTCACTCACTTGTTCTCTCTCACTCTGTCCCTCTCTGGTCAAATTAAAATAAATAAAGATTTAAAAAATAATAAATAATCTCTAGGCTTTCATATATTTGATTTCTCGGACAACACAGTACCAAAACAAGAAACAGTTACAAGAGGTCAAACTAAATTCATTATAAGAGAATGGATATGTCATAATGAACTAATAAATGATTAAGATGGTCCAATGAGATATCAAAATAATCTTAAGACCCTGGAGCAGACTAAGGCATTTCCAAAACAGCTATTAAAATGAGTTTCACCACGAAATTCAGGAACTATGCCTAAATACGCTTAACTGTCCCATATAGTGAGTGTAGAGCTAATTTACGTTACTATCCAAACCAGGAGAGCACCCCCCAAGTTTCCCTTTTGCTTTAATAAAACCCCCACAAGGTACTTAAAAGTAATACCCATTATTTTAATATTACATTTTCCAGTATTTTATACAGCTCTAGTTTAAATTTAAATTAGCTGAAGTTTATATATGTGTGAAAAAAAAATATATATAAAATATACACGCCATGTATCATTTATGTGGCTAATGCATTGAACAGTGTACAAAGGCTAGAGAAGAGCACCTCAGACTTCAGACTTTAGCAATGAATTCCAACAATGCAGGCCTTTCAAGTAGCTGATTTTCAGAAACGAATATGCTTAAGAGCCAAAGCAGCCAACAATCAGTATACCTAGGTTTAGCTTAGCATAACTGGCCTTGTCAGGGTCACACAGCTGAATTAGCCCAACCAACACTGTTTAGAATTAAGGTATGTGTGATGGTCAGTTTTCCTGACTTATTTTAACTATTTTTATAAATACTTGCAACCCTAGTCAGAGTTCAGTCGATTCAGTTCAAACATTCACAATGACCAACAACTGTAAAACTCTCAAGTAATATGTGAATCAGACGTCCACCTTTTATTTCTGTAGTTTTGTTGCTATTCTGAGTAACTGAAAAGAAGCTATCAAGAGCTCTGAAAACACAGCGTCCTTCCTTTTTCAGCCTTGTCTCAGAGCTATAACTAGCTCATCTAGCATCACACCTGGAATCTGGCCTTTTGCAGCCCACACACTTCCAAATACCACAGAGAAACGGGACTCACTTGTAGGTCCAGGCACCACCAGCTACCGTCTTCATGCAGGAACCACAGTGCCAGATCCCCACAGCTCGTCTCTTCATCTTAGTCTAGAAAAAGAAAATAAGTTTTCACCATCAACCAAGTAAAGGCCTTTATCTTAAACCTTTCAGGGGGTCAAAATTACACACAAAACTAGTGTATTTTACGATATAATGGCATGTCTCTCACCCCCTGGAATTCACTAGTGCAAAATTGGCATTCATCATGGTGATCCTGCCAGGGATGTGAAAGAGCTAGTCTTCCAAAAATAAAAACAAAAACGGGGAGTACTATAATACACGACTTTTGCCCCCAGTCAACACCCTAACATTTACTACACAAATCTTACAAAATGGGCAATCGTTCCTCAAAAAAAAGTTTTGGCTTAGGCTGGGGCTTTCGATCAAATGATTTTTTCAATCCTTCCGTTACTAACTGGTTTTCTTTAAATGAAGCTTCACAAAACCTAGTGACCAACAGCTGCGCAATGCCAGCTCGGCCTATCTCAGGAACGAAAGGTCTCACCTCGGAGTAACCCTCCCGCTACCCCCACCGGGGTGGGACCCCCTTACTTTGCCACAGAAGGAGCAGGTGTACTTGGCATGCTGGCTGATTTCAATTTTCTTCACCATTTTCCGGAGGGAGGCACCATAGCGGGTCCCGTATTTACCGACGATGCCGACCTTCTTGGTGCGTTTAGCCTGTTCCGAGGGAAGGAAACACAGCAGCCGTACTTAAGAGGGGGCACCCTGGTCCAGACGCCTCCACGCAGTTCTCCGCCTCATCCCCGTTGTGGCCCCGTTTTCCCAGATTCCACCCGGTAAAATGAGCGCTAAGAGTAGTCTCCGTGCCCCCAGGGCCGTGCGGTCACCCAGCCCGGGTGGGCCAGTCCTCACCAATCCGCCCCCGCCCCTCCGCCTCGGGCTGCGTCCAAGCGGGGCCTGAGACACAGCGAGGGCACGAAGCCCAGGGAGGAAACGGCATAGCGCAGGGGAGCAGAGGTGGGTGCGGGAAAGGAAACCCCGAAAAAGGCAGATGCTGACAGATACAGAATTAGGCCGCGGAGAGAACCACTCACCATTCCGCCACCAACTAGGTCCGAGCCCAGAGAGGAAGAGACTCAGCGCGCAGGCGCGATTCTAGGCCGACGAGCGGAAGTGGCGAGCGGAGCCTAGCTAGGAACTGAGCTCGATGGTCTGGAGGTGTCTTCGCAGGTCGCTGCTCCGGGAGGCCTCCCCGTGGCCTCCTGGGAAATGTTTGAGGTGGGGAGAATCCTCTCCGACCGCTTTACCTGCTTCTCAAACTGTAGCACGAACAACTATACCTTAGAGCGGGAGTACGTTCTCATTAACTTGCACATACTACAGAATCCTGCAGAGTCAGTACGAGTTTCCCCATTTCGTGTGCAGGGAAACAGATTTGAAGTGACTTAACCACTGTGTTACGGCTGACCTCTATCTTTTTTTTTTAGTTTTGCTATAGGGCGAGTTCACTTGCTGGAGATAGACCGGGAAAGGAGTGAGGGAGGAGAGGGAGTGGAAGGGGGAGGGGGGACCCCAATTTGGGATGGCTATGCCGCTATCCCTTCTCCATTCTCTGTCCATTCTTCATTTGGGCACACTGGCTTAAAGAGAACTGCTTCAGTCCTACATTTGCGACTGCATGCATCGCTCGTTGCTTCCCCAATCTACACCTTCTAGAGGTAGGGAGGCCTTGGGCAGGGTGCTGGCCGCGACTAAAAACCTAGACTCCACTCCTAGAATAAGCTGCAGCCCAGGGACCAGCAGATGGTGAAATGGTTGTATCCCTGGACGCCCCGTAGCCAACCACGGTTGGAGTCCGGGACTGATGGCTTAAAGCTCACACAGGACACGTGTGCGTATGTGCCCGAAGTCTGGAGAGGATGGAGAGGAAGGGATTGCAACTGTGGCCATCCCCCCTGGGGGGTGATTTCTTGCTTTCTGTCTGTCTTTGTCTCTCTGATGAGTACACGCATCCTGTAGCAAAAATTTCAAGAAAAGAGTTAAGTCTAGCCGGAAGACAGCCATATAGGCACATTAAGAAGTTGTAAAATGTGAAGTTGACCTGTAAGCCTGGTGTCTGAGGGAGCTAGGTCCAATATGGCCTAAGATGACTGGGATTCCATGAAAAAAAACACCTGGCTATGTGCATGCATTGTCAAAAACCCCATAGAATTGGGGGCAGCAGGTGGTATGGTGATTAAGGTGTTAGACTCCCACATGACAGACTACGGTTCAAGTCCCAGACCTGGCAGCTTGCTTTCTCACTTTCCTTTTCTCTGTGTCTCTCTAGTGAACATTTGTGCTATATAGCAAATTAAAAAATAATAAATAAAATTAAATAATTCTTTAAAAACAAAACACAGAATAGAGAAATGAAGGAGGAGGGATTATGGTGTAACCACACTCCATTGGAAGGTGCTTTCTTGGGACCAGCAGTTAGCGTAATGGCTATGTCGCTGGACTCCCACGTAGTCGACCACGGTTCGAGTCCCGGACCCAGTGGCTTAAACTCACGCCGGTCGCATGTGCATGCGTGCTCAAGATCCTGAGAGGAGAGTGGAGGAGAAGGGATTGCGGTGTGGCCATCCCCCCTGGGGGACGGATTCTGAAATGAAGAAGAGGCAGGTCATTAGAACTGAAGAGCCTGAGAGAAAAGCTGGAAGATTCATTCACCTCACATTTTGCTCAGGAAATGTCAAGTTCTTCCATTTTAGCATCGAGAGGAACCATCTTCTTTCCTTCAGTGCTCTGATCAGTTTTGTTTTATAACTTTTTAAGATTGCCCGAGGGCACATGCACTTACCAGAGAGACAGAGAAAAAAAGAGAGAAAGCCCCTTCCTTTTTTTTTTCTTTTGGAGCGGTTTTTGCTATAGGGCGCGTGCGCTTGCCAGACAGACAGAGAGAGACAGAGAGACAGAAAGCAAGAAATCACCCCCCGGGGGGATGGCTACGCCACAATCCCTTCTCCTCCGTTCTCTTCTTGGGATCTTGGGCACGCACGTACACACACCTGGCGTGAGTTCCAAGCCACCGGGTCCAGGACGCGAACCTCGGTCGACTACGTGGGAGTCCAGCAACATAGTCATTACACTAACTCCAGCTATATTCATTAATAATTACTATTATTTGAGATGAAGATTCCTCGTGGCTCCTGAGAGCTAGTGATTTCAGGATAAAAGAGAAATGAAGATTTCCTACTGATGATTCAGCCTCCAGCTCACAAACCTGAGTGCTAGGGAGCTCCTCAAGCCTTCTATCTCTGACTCTGTGTCTCGTTCTCTGTCTCTCTCTGCTTCTATCTTCTCTTTTTTTTTTTTGGTAATTTTTCCTTTTAAAAAATTTGTAAAGGTAAAGTATTCTCTTGCTCTCAGCTCCGCCTTTGTCTAGTTAATAATCCCCTCTCCCCCTTCCACCCAGGCAGGAGAGACAAGAGGCAGGTCTTCAGACAAAGATTTCTCGTTGCTCCTGCACGGTTTCCTATTTTGTCCTTTTTAAAACAAAATAATACTTTTTTTAGGTTTTTTTCCTTCTTTTTCTCTGTTTCTTTGTTGTCATTGTTGTTTCTCTCTCTCTGTTTCCTTTTCTTTTTAGCTCATCTCCCCGCTCGTCATCTCCTTTTACTGTGTTTTTATATGGATCTAATGGAACTTGAGCCAAACATCCAAATACTATTAGGGTTAATATATTCCTCAATATCTACTGAATCTGCTGCACAAAGGGATCACAACGGAATGGCAAAGAGATTCCAGATCACCTCTTTCTGAACGCTCCTAAACACTCAGATTGAACTTCAAGAATTAGGAAGAGAGGGACCAGCAGTTAGCATAATGGCTATGTCTCTGGACTCCCATGTAGTCAACCATTGTTTGAGTCCCAGAACCGGTGGCTTAAAACTCACGCCGGGCACGTGTGTGTGTGTGTGTGTGTGTGTGTGTGCCCAAGATCCCAAGAGGAGAATGGAGGAAAAGGGATTGTGGTGTGGCCATCCCCCCAGGGGGGTGATTTCTCGCTTTCTGTCTCTCTCTCTCTCTTTGGTGAGTGCACACGCCCTATAGCAAAAACCTCTTTAAAAAAAAAAGAATTAGGAAGAGACCCACCATCCATCGGATGACTAGAAATCACCACAGGGCCACAAGAAATATGAGAAAGCAAGAAAATACCTCTCCTCCAAGGGAAAAGAATAACTCCTCTTCATCTACACACAGTTCAATGGAAATGTCTGATAAAGAATTTAGAATATTCATAATGGTGAAGCTAACAGAGATGGAAGAGGAGACAATGAACTGCAGAAGAGAAAGGAGGAAGGAGCTGATGAGTTCCAGGTGAGGAAATTCTTGTAAGATCTAAAAGAGGAATTACACACTTTAAAAATAACCAAAGGGACCTGTTAGAGTTGAAGGCTATAATACAGGAAGTCAAAATCTACCTTGAAAGTATTAAAAGCAGATTAGATCATACAGAAAATAGAATCTTAGATGTAGAAGAGAAAATGGCTGACCTAGAAAAATCAACCACGAAGACTGAGAAAGTGACTCAAAAAAATGAGAATAATATGTGAGAAGTACTAGATACCATCAAACATCCAAACATCTGGATAATTGGTATCCCAGAAGGTGAAGAGACTCATAAGGGCATTGATGATCTATTCCATGAAATCCTGCAAGAAAACTTTCCAAACCTAGAGAGGCACTCAAAGATCCAGTCCCAAGAAATACAAAGGACCCCAAATAGTCAATCCAAAAAGATCCTCTCCAAGACACATTATAGCCAGATTGACCAAAAACACAGACAAAGACAAGATACTAAGATTGGAAACAGAAAAACATCAAGTTACCTATAAAGGATATCCCATCAGGATAATAGCAGACCTCTCATCAGAAACAATGTGAGCAAGGAAGGAATGGGAAAATATATTCAAAGTGTTAAGCGAAAAGCAATTTCAACCAAGATTACTATACCCGGCAATATTATCCTTCATGTGGGAAGAAAAGACAAAAACATTCTCAGATAAACAAAAACTGAAATAATTTACCAGCACCAGATCAGATCTCCAAGAAGTTCTCAAGGGAGTGCTATATCAGGAAAGTTAAATATGGAAACGCAGAAATAAGAGTTCAAAAACTAAGAAAATGGCCAACTTAATCATAGGGATAAGTCTGGAGTTGAATATTATATCCCAGGATTTAATCGGGAAAATCGAATCACAACAGGAGATAAAGTACATGAGACTGAATTGGTGAAATAGAATTTTATGACTTTTGACTAAAACATTGCTGACTTTCTTGTAGGCTTTGTTGTCCAGTTTTAAAGATTTGTGTCCTGTCTTGAGATGCCGATAGGTTCATATACCTACCATTTGAATAGAATCCTAACTTGTATCCTGGTTTTAAGTCTTCAGCAATGCTCTTTAGGATTTCATTGATTTAAGTTAAAACTGCCTTCTTGAAATTACCAGCTGAACTTGCTATTAAAAGTAGTTATATTATTTAAGAATTTGCGTGATCAATACAATGTGGGGTAAAAAGAATGGAAGACTACTGTAGACACCAGAGGTAGTGTGAGAAGAGGGTGGGAAAGGACAGAGGGTCAGGAGTAGGAGTAAAACATATATATATATATATGTATATTTTACTATAAAATATAGTAAAATATAAATAAATATGTATGTGTACATATATATTTATATAAAACTAGAAATGGAAAGTTTTTGATGATAACATGCATGATTAAGCCACTATGCAGTATATTCTGGATGGGAGATCACATTTTTTTTGGAGAGGTTTTCGCTATAGGGCACGTGCCCTCACCAGAAAGACAGAGAGACAGAAAGCGAGAAATCACCCCCCAGGGGGGATGGCCACGCCGCAATCCCTTCTCTTCTAG